TTGATGAGTATTGTTTGGCATGATTGATACGTAGAACACAAAAGAGTTTTAAATTTCCATTCATCATTAAATTCATTGGTACTAATTATGTTTCAACTACTTGATTTTTAATACATTCATAACTTCCTATTCTATTACTTCTCGTTCTAAGACTACTTTTTGTCAATTGATTTTATTTTCAATCTCTGTTAAAAAGTAAATTATTCGATTCTTAGTTAAAATTGTACATATTTATCCTATAGTGTTTGACTTGCGATAAATTTCTAATGAATATTTGACACCGTAACGAAACAAATCAAATAGTAATTATCTTCGCTGATAGTGAGTTTTATTCACTGTAAAAATTGACATCCGAAAAGTGAGTAACCATGCCATCCACTTTTCTGTATTGTACATCCCAAAAAGTGAATGAATTTTCTTTGCTTATCAGCCATTGCCCATTTTAGCAAATCAAAACTTTTGTTCGGTAATGGGTGATAAATAAAGAAAATTCATTCACTTTTTGGGATATACAATAAAAGTAGATGGCATAGTCACTCACTTTTCCGATGTCATATTTTGTAATTTTAGTATAAATGAGTATTAAGGCATTTAGTTCTTATTAGTAACATGTTATTCATGGAAAACTTTAATTTATTAAACATCAACATCTTTAAATTAAAATAGCTATAATTTAAAAAGCCATGTTTAATGATTACTCCCGTAATAAACACTCACTTTCTAATATTAATTTGTATTCAGACATATATATCGAATCATCGTAGAAGTAAAAGCGACAACTGTAGTGAGCTTTTCGCTTTGCGTTAACGTAAAATTGTAAAAGAGTATGACAATCTTGATACAAGATTATATGATCGTTCATCTTTATTCGACAAGAATATCTGAGAAGGTAACTATTGTGAGTATCGAAAACCTATAAAATTCCAGCGCGGTTTTTCGATGGTCAGCGAATACAAACACGCTATCCCAAATGTTTTGGTAGACGTGTGACAATGTCATGCAAAAACTATCAGAATGTTACGATAAAAATTTGATGTCACATTTTTACTGTGTGAGTATTACGGAAAGAACTAAATATAAAACTTGATGATTGAACAATTAGTCAATAAATTGATGCTGATGTTTTAACGGAGATGAAAGAAGAGAATGATCTTCTTCTCAATAGTTAACATATACTCAACAAGCCGTAGTGTTTCCCTAATACTATTAGGTTTTCGATCGATCTGCTGCCTATCAATCATGACAATAAAGTGTACCATTATAACAAGTGTAGCAGTGCCACACTTTCATATGGTGGAAAAAGTGTGCTATCGTTCAAGTTTTTCCCGTCACACTTGAAGTGTTCTTTTTGCCACTCAACTGTGACAATGTCACGGTAAAAGTGAGTCATCATCATCTTATTGGTGATTAGATTTTGTACGATGATTACACACTTTTACCGTGACTTTCTGACGGTTTGACCGCTACTTTTTATAGTATAAAGAATCTTAAATCAAGAGTTCAGATTGAAGTGTCAAGTACTTCTGCTGGATATCATACTTATGTTGAATCTCTCATTTATTTTTCAATAACTGAAAACTACTGATCTTTTACAGATGTAAATCTGTAACATCTCCACACATTCTGTGACAACCAACACGGATTGAATAGATCATATTCGAGTCCAGAAGATTGTGTACAGATATGTTCATTTCACGTATGTTAACACACAACACACATTGACACACAATCTCACATTTCTAACCGTATTAAACATATTAAATAGTTCTCAGTATTGTCCAGCGGATATGTTTTACTTTTTTATAACTCTCTCAATGCCATGCTTGGCATTTGACGATTATAGTACGTAGCCGTGTAAAATCGACATCTAACACAGTAACGAACATTTTTAACGGAGAAAAAAAACTTATGTTCTTATGTAATTAAATGATTCTTATATTGGTAAGAGATGCAAAACAAAAAGGTCAATGAAAAACTACTCATTAAAACACAGTAGCATATGTCGACATGTTTGTAACCTAGTTATATACAGCACACAAATTTTTTAACACACGTGCACATATGGACACACAGTCACATTTTCACACATTTCCGATTATGTGTGTGTTAAGAACACAATTTTTTTTACAGTGCACATCTCGAAAAAGGATACCGCTCTCAATTCTCATACTTTATCATGTATCAGGAGTATTTATATAGACAAATAACATCGCTGTTAGCTTATGAATAAAAAGAGTGAAGAAAGATCTTCTCTTCGATGTCTTGGTATTGTATTTGTTCAAGTATTTTTTATTTATTATTTTTGTTGTTGTTGTTGATATATATTTCTTCACTTTTTTTGGTTTGGTTGATCAATGACATTTTTTTTTGATTTCTTCTTATTCCAGTAGGCATATAGTTTTTATTTTATGTCTCAAAGTGTTCCATTTTCAGAAAAGAATAAAAAATTGTTTTCTATGTTCTATAGTCCTACTATATTCTCGCATGATGATTTATAACAACAACAAAAAAAAAAAAGAAAGAAGAAGGAAGAAATGGAATTCAAAGAACATTGTTTTTTCTTTTATTTATTTTTATACTAGCCTACCAAAAAAACATCCACCTTTAAGAGGAGAAAAAGAGTGGTCGTTTTGAGTATCTGATTCATAATTAGTCAGGAAAAAAATCATGCATTCTATATTATAATATGTAAAATAAAAATATAAACTTAACAGTAAAAGTTAAGTTCATTTTTTAAAACTTCTATTCATACCTGTTGTCGGTTGAAAACTGAGATCAGTCACTTCGCACACTATCACTATATTCTCTTTGAGTGAACAATATGAAGAAAGAAAAAAAAAAAGAAGAGAATTCAAACAATTTATTCCATCTTATTTTGACATTTTTTGTTGTTGTTTTGGTACAGAAATAAGAAATGCTGAAAAGCGAATATTATAAGAAAAACGTAAGTTAATAATTGGTATGAGCAATCTAGATGACGAATAGAATTAATGGGATGAAAATCAGGGATCATAGAGAGAGATTAGATGCCTCCTATGGAAGAAAATTTTTATACCGTTCTGTCTCGTTGTATGAGCGTTCGAAAACTTTCATCCTATAAGACCACATGGGGTCACATTAAATTTCTCTTGCAGAAATTATTTTTTATTAAGCAAAGTCTCTCTTGCAAGACAACCTGATTCGTTTGTTTTTCTAGTAAGTTAAATGGATTATACACCGATATTCATTTAATATTCTACTCAATGAATTTTCTTGACACAAAAAATTTCCTTTTCATGTGTTAACTATTTTTTTTAACGCATTTAACAGCATTAAATATTAATAAACTTACATGCGTTAAATTTAGCATATCCGAAACAAAGTAAACGAGAAAGTTTTAATCGATTACAAAATTATTAATGCGTTAAAACGAATTAAAATGCGTTGTTTAATGCATTAGTCTAATGAGAACGCGTTTTAATCTCATATTAAACTCTTTTAACGCATTAAGTGCGTTAAAGTGAAATTAACGAAACACGTTTTTAGCACATTTTGATGATTTTTGACTTTTAACGTCTTATAAACTCAACCCTATTCAATGCGTTAAGGATTTTAATATATTTAAATGCATTAAAATTATTTAATTAATGAAGAGACATTAAATGTTAATGCATTCGACTGTATTCACAGATGACCGTTTATCAAGAGAAGACGTTCATTTTTAGAAAAGTTTCTCTACACTATGTCGAATTGAGCAGTAGCAATCATCAGACACCCCAATACGTTTCTTAGTGAGGTGTCTAAACACCTTGCAACAAGGTGCTTTCAAACGTTTTGTCACTTTCAATAATTGAAAAAATTTGCCGCTTTCTGTAGAATCTTGTAAGATCCCATGAGATTTCCGTCATACGACGACTCCTGATGAAATTGTATCGCTCTCACTTTGTTTTCAATACTATCTTTACTAATAAAATTTTCGTAAAATCGTATTTGTATTGAGTTAACTTCAACAGCAAAGTGAATTTTCCATAGTTCATCCCTCTTTTTGCTATTAATACCTATGCTCTACTCTAATTTGGACATCCTGTACATATTCTGAAAAAGTTAAAAAAACGTGTAAAACTAAAACACGTTTGAAAAGCATTTAACAAAACAGGTAGCAAAATTTTAACGATTTAGAGGGTAACATCAACCATACATACGAAAAAAGCCAAGAATTTTTAGAAATAAGCGGGAATCAACAATATGGTTAATTTTATCTTTGAGAATAATTTGGAAGCTCATGTTAGCAGCGAAATTATCAGTATTAAGTGATAAGAAAGTTAAGAATACGCTTGACTAAATCACCTTTGCTTCTTTTTTTTTGTTTGTTTCCTACATCATTTTCCTCAAATGATTCTTTTCTTCAATCGAAGTGCACATTTATTACAAGACAAAACGATTAAAAACTAAAAATTTAAATGTTCGGAAATAGTTTATATGCATATCTGCAAGGCGATATTGCTGTTAATATAAAAAAAAGCGAAAGAGGTTGAAGGATATGCAAAAGGAATATATGTCATACGTGTGTGTGTATAGACGTCTTTTGATCGTCACGTCAAATCAACAATAACAGCGACAACCAAGTTTTGAGTAAACATTATTTTTTTTTTATTGCTTTGTGTTCAAGGTGAACATCGGTCAGTATATACATTGTGTAAGCTTATTAGAAGTACAACATAAAGCAAGAAAGAAAGACACCTTTTTGTTATAAATTAGATTGATTTAACAAAATAGACTTGTACATGATACTATATCGAAGATAACATTTGTCATCGTTCGATTCAGTTTGTCACTTTTCTTATAGTTCTCTTTTTTTTACCTGTTTCTATTTTCAAGAATGATCGTCTAATAAAGAATATAAAAAAGTGTATTTTTTAAATTCTTTTTGTACATATAATGAAAAAAGACGACCATTATGTTTTTTTGAACTTCGATTTGTTTATAACTAAGTGTACTTTTTTCAGATTAATACGTGAACAATGGCGTTGCATAAATTATCGAAAACTTATCAAAAATCATTACGTTGTGATTATTTGGGATGCACAGCAGCTGTTGCTTTGATCAATGAACAATTTATACGTGAAGCCATTGAATTTGTTCGCCAAGCAAAATCGACACATGGTACTGTTAAAACAGTTATTTATACGTCGAATGAAGGTGTAAGAATTCTTTATGAAAATGAGCAAAAGTATACGACACTTGTACCGAACACAATGGTGGCCGGTTGTGCTATTGGAAAACATCCTTTCAATGATACAGTGGGTCAGTGTACATATGTAATTCTAGAAGGTCTTTAGGATAATATCTGTGTACATTTCATTTCGCTGAAACATGCAATATCCATCCATATCTTAGTATATCTCTGTGCCATCTACAACATTTTCGTAAACTATATCCTAGTGTATCAATTTTTTTTCGTAATTTGGTCTCACCTTATCCGACACAATATCTTCATTCAATAATTCTAATAAAATTAAGTTTTATTGCATTGAGATTGAATTATGAGGAAACCATTCTAAATATCATCTCGATTTTTCAGTAGAACACAGATTTTTATAGGTTCTGATTATCAACCTAACATCTGTGTCGAACTGTAGTTCTGACAATTTGTAAGCTTACGTAACTTGACATTCTCTATAAACCGGCATTGTCAAAAAATCGTTTTAAATTTCTATAATCTAATCTAAAAGAGTAAATTCTGGCAAAGCATACGTATGTCAGTATCGAAAATTACTAAAACATCTAGGTTTTGTTGAAAAAGCCAGGAGACAGCTGTGGTGCTCCTCGGTTAAAAATCAGTTGTGAACAGTTTAACTTTCAATCTAACCTATAGTTTTTACTCACACATCTTCATTTCGTTCACTAACTACAAAGGTTTCGAATATTTATTTACTTTTAGGGTGTGTCTATATTAGTCCATTATCCGGTTATCATTATCCTGCATTCGTTCATGTTTATCGTTGTGAATCAAATAGAATTGCTCAAAAACTTTTATTACGATTAAAGCAATATATATCTAATAGTGTTCATCGTAATCGTGTTTTAACGCTAGAAAAACGTTTACTAAAATTAAATTTATTGAATACCGATCGGCTTATCACAGCATCATCAAATGATACAACAATACTATCGCAAGACTTATTTAATAATCAAACAGAAACAAGCAATACCACTTCTAATCATTATAATAGAAGTAATAATAGTGGTAGTAACAGTTATCGTGTGGAAACAGAGAATAATAATAATGAAAATAATCCAATTAAATCCATAACTGAAGAATTCCAAAAGAAAATTGATAAAAACCAACCAATTCTATTTCCACCAAAAGATTATGATACAATGAGACGTGTGCATGGACATATTGAAAGAGCCGATGAATGGAGAAGTAGAGAAGTAAGTCACTGATCTTCAGTTTGAATCTACTAATTTTTGTCACATTCGCACTTAAATCTAAAGATTTCTTTTTTTCTCAGAACTCGGATAATTTTTTTTATTTTTCTGGCTGATTAAAAAAGAAATGAACATTACGCATCTTCATTGTTCCTCTATTTTCTCAGTAAAGTTGAAATCTGTACTGAGTTATATGTTTTAAAGACATGCTAGATATCGGAAGTTTCTTTAGAAATACGATTATAAGAAAAATGAAATCTCTCTTTTAGGCTTCAAATGGATCTGAACTTGGCTTACTACTGGACACTCCTCACACTTGTCCCAGCCCTAGAACTCAGACTGAAAGTAATACTAATTCAGATTCCTTTTGCTTAGATTTCGAACTTTTTCATCATATTTCTTTCTGAATGGACAAACCTCAGCTATTTGAAGCATATTGCTTTATTCCTCTCTCTCAGTTATACCAATAACTCATTAGTAGATGAACAGGATTGCTAAGAAAATACTTTACGAAATACGAAATGTTTAAATCTGAATGAATTTGCTTGCATATCATTGAATATCTTTCGATTTATTGTACAATACCACGAAAAAAATTTGTCTTGTAATAGATGTGATCAAATGCCCACTGTGATGAAATTTGCATAGGAATAGAAAGAGAGAGAATAGCAAAATATGCTATAGGCGTCAACTGTACAGGGAGAACAAAAATAAAACTCATTCATCGTTTGTGTTCAAAACAAAGAAAAAAAATTCTTTATATGTACCTATAGGAGAGACGCGACCATACCTTATAAATCTCTTTCTTTCTCTCTCTCTCGTTTTAAAAGTTTGATGTGATATAATATAATCCAATGCCAAGAAATAAATTAATTTCTATGTATCGATTAGAAAGAGAAAATTCTACGTTTATAAAATATTTAGCTATAAAGTTCGGTTGCGGTATGTGTTTTGGATCCAAGGTGAGCTTTATACTTGGTCGGTTTAGAACTGTTTAGGTAGTTGGATGTGAGCATTACATCTCAAAATCTTTTTGTACCATTCAATTTGTCATATGATTTCGTTTTAGCCTACAATCGTTGGTTTTTCTTCAATAAATAGCGACGAAAATCGTGTTCAACGACAAATTGAGCCTCTGAATAGTAACAAAATGATGGTTAATGATAATAATAATCAAAAACAATCATTTCAAAATGAACCAAGAACTAATGGACGTTCATTATCAAGTATTAGTAGTACAAATTCAACTGGTGATCGACAACGATCATTAACTCAAAGAAGTGATTTAACGGCAGATCCGGTATGCCTAACCACATATCGTTTATAATATAACATGCAGATGACCAGTGTTTTATTTGTTAGGTTGAAACAGTTAGTTTAGCATTCGATTTTTTAAAAGATGAAACAGGTTCAATTTTTTCAGATGGTGATTTAGAAAACGAACCTATCACCAACAATATTAACAATCGACCAGTGTTTCGCTTTCGACCACCGGATATCACTTCTACGAACAAGTACGAATTTTGAATAGTTATGATTATTCATGGATGACGTAACCCTTTTAGCATGTCGTTTTTGTAAGGATAGGATCAATGTTGTTCGTTACGAACCGTATCTGAAATCATTAAGCCTTTTTTAACTAAAATTCGACAGACCAGAAATTATTCTAGATGAGACTCAGTTTTAACCTGAACGTCAGAAAAACGATTATCGGTGCTTGTGCAATGCGGTCGACTGTACAGAACCCATATTAGTCATCATGCAATCGTTTTTCATCATAGCGACTCTTATCCATTTCTTTTTTATTAGTAAACTTTGACACCTAAAGTCAAGATTAAAGCAAATATTGACCTTCATGAATTTCTGACATGTGTCAAAACCTTTGAAAATTTGTTGAGAATCAGGGGGTTATATACTATATATCTAAATAAAACAAAACGATAACGGGATTTATCGCAAAAATCACGTTGCAATTTCTTGTCATATCGCGCGCGTGGGAGAAAACCGCTATCTTGAACCTTAATTAAAAATAGTCGTTTATCGAGGATCGCTATAAAGAGTCATGGCGTAACTTCGTAACTCAAGTGTGTTCGCTGTGAGAAAAAACTGCCGCTGCACAATTCTAAATACCCAACTTTTTAAAACACATGAGCTCAATATGATCTGGTGCGACAGCCGTGATTTGTTTAGCAATCACGATGTGAGTTGTGCGAATGTATCACGTTGTGACAATCGTGTTCACCTCAAGGAAGTTAATTAGATCTTTTATAGTGACATAGCCGTTTAACCGAATAAAAGTTAAATGATCCTCTGAAACTGACCTGACTGCGATCCAATTTCGTTTTGGTCTCCGATATATAAGATAAAGACAATCTGTTTTAGGAAATTATCTATTGGTCGTGGTCAAGCAAGTTTCAATGTGGTTCCAGAACATGAAAATAATGTCGGTAGTACGGATGATTTAAAAGCGTCAGCAACTGAATTTTCAGCTTATCATCGTGATAGTAATAACGGTAGAAATGCTCATGCTCAGGTCGATGAACAATATCGACGACAACCACCACCAAATGTATCAAAGTCTACCACTGCACAAAGTAATTCACCTGCTCGTGCCAAATCGGAGACACGTTTGCATCAACAGCAAATAAATGGACAGCAGCAACAACGTTCAAATGGTCTGATAGGTCCACGATATGAGAATCGTGTAGTGCATACTGGTCAACCATCTAGTATGAATCCAGTGTGGACGGGACCAACACCACAATCAAACATTGCGTTGTTGTCCACATCATCGTCGAATATGATTCAACAAAATACAAATAATATCCATGAATTAAGTTCATCATCGGAGAGACGAAACCCGGATATGCCTGTGCATCCACTTTATTCGAGTTATCCACAAAGCGGGTATAAAGCATCTGTTATAGACGATTATTCCAGCGGACGATTATCAAAAGGAAACGTTGTTGATAACAACAACAATAACCACTTAAACAGACACGTAACAAACGGAAACGGCATTAATAGTAAAAAACAAGCAACATCATCACAATTACGTACAGCCGCCCAATTTCCTACGAATGAATTTATATTAAAATCTTCAAATGGAAATCTATTAAGAAATCATGTAACACCAATAACAAGAGAATATCGACCACATTCACTAGTGGTAGATCCAACGATTTATAATTTATCACCACAAAATCCACTTGATGTTTATTATTAAACTATTTTTTGTTTTTGCTTTTCTACTTGTTTATTTATTTTCTATGTATAACGATTGTATGAGCATATATTTATAGCGAAACGATTGCTTCTAGAAAAGAAAAAGTTAACAAACTAGCAAATCCCGAAGTGTTGAAGGTTTTTCTCATCCAAAACAGATTAGAACTTTGTGAAACTTCTTCCTATGACTCTAGAGAAGTGAAGAGTTGAAATTTACAATCAAAAGCTGAGGATTATGGCTAATTTTTTATCGCACTTCCTCTTATGAACGGATGAGCCGAAGAATTTTATAAGTGATGATCTCTTAAATACGTGAGAGATAATATCTCATGGATGAGTAGCTGTGTAAGTGGTTTGACGATGATCTTTTTAAGAGCGATGAATTTATAGTTATAATCTGTTTAGAAAGTGTGCATATTATACCGACAATTCATACAAATAAGTTGTCTCACTATAGTACACTAGCAACATCACTGCACTAATCTCTTGAAACTGTTAGAGACTAAGCTGCTGACTATAAAAAATTAGAAAATAGCAGAGAGAAATCTCTAAGAGCGATTGCATCGGTGGGAATTCGTTTAAGTTCGTAAGCTTGGTGAGTATTTCTGAAGAAGGTAAAAAAAACACAAAATGGATGACTTTCTAATTCTTTACAGTTCAAGTTCATTAATCTATTTTCTCCAAGATGTTAGTGTCTCTTTTTACTTTGTTTCACATATAATTTGAGTAAACGTACAAGAAATTTAGGTAGTTGTAAGAGCTGACTGAAGGGAGGTCAGCTTATCGCTTTTTCTATCTTCTGCTTTCAGCTAATGTTTATTGTGTTGCTACCACTTGAAGAAAAATTCAGAAAAGAAAAATTACAAAGCAAAAGTATTTTTGGAGATACGAATTCTGCTCTTGAAATGTGACGCATATAATTAATGATAATCTCTTGAAGTCTGACGTCCTGGTGAGGGTATATAATATAAGTCTCTAACGAATTACAATGTTTTACGTTTACCTATGCCAGAAACTTGAAAGCACATCTGAAGTTCTTATTTAGAAACGAACACTAAGGATATAGCGTTCAATTAGCGTCAAATTTTTGGTTTGTTTTATCTTTATATTCAAATTCATCATTGAACAAGATATTTTTAAATTGCTTATACCAACTTTTAATCATGTTATCGTGATCTCCTTTTTTTTCTTTAGTTTTAATCATCGCTTCTTTTACAATTGTCCCAATGGCTATAAATGCTTCTTGTGCCGTTGGTACAATTTCTTTTGGTGGTAGAAGAAATCCATATTTACCTTTATCTCTCAATTCGATAACATACGAATATTTGATGTTGCGTTTCGCTTTTACCCAGTCTGCTGAATTTCCAGAAGCGGCGTACAATATCTCCGGTGACGCTCCGACCTCATAATCTTTACCACTTAATTTCTGTATCTCTTTTGCTGCTTTTTTAGCTATTGTGCGCAGTGTATCGTAATCATCTGGTTTTGGTAAACCGAAAGACCATGGTACGAGAATTTTTTGTGAATAAGAATGCAATGCGACATAAGCTCGGATTTGTTTTGAATTTTTTGTGATAAAATCAGCAATCGATTGCATTTCGGGTTCAGAAAATGGCTTAGAACCTTGATAATTGTTCATGCATGGGTCAGCTGAAGCTCCTTCTTCACCCCACTAAAGAACAAAAACGGGATCTAAGTCAAACCTTGGAAAACCCTAAATTGATTCTTACACCTTTATGTCAAAATTTCTATTACCATCTACACCCCGGCAATGTGTTTTCTGTAAATTATCATATTCAACGCTACGTGTTTTACGCCATAAACGATCTACAACACAAATTAGTTCAACCAACAGCAAATTATAATGCAGAGGAAATATCTAACGCTCCTACCATTTTCATGTGTATACTCATAGCCATCTGGGTTCACCAAGGGTGCTATAAACCAGTTCACATTTTCAATTAAGTTTTGTGAATTTATATCCTTTAATGGTGACGTTTTTGTCAATTTATCAATCATCCACAAGGCAACAGCTGGACTAATCCATTCACGGGCATGTATTCCAGCTTCAATAAATATTCCCGGTTTATTGATCGATTTAAAATATTGTTCAACAGTAGATAGAATTCGATAGTTTTCAGAACGATTTTTACTAATAATTTTTTCCAACGACTTTTTTCGATGATTCCCATGTATTCGTTTCTTCGTTCTCACTTTTGAATAATTTTCGCGTAAATTTGTTGAGATAATTAACAATGGTATTTCACGTTGTTCAAATGAAGATCCTGTAATCAATCGTATTCGTTTATGTTTCTTAAATGATATCATGAAATCTTTCATAAACATTAACCAAAAATGTTGAAGTCTCCAGTTTTAAGGAAAAAGCTACTTTTTGTAAACAAAGAGTTTGTAGAGTTTGTAGACAAATATTCGTGAAATGCATTTTCTTATTCTTGTTTTAAATGACTAATGGATGACGTCATTCAATCGAAAAGTTTGACAAATTGAAAAGAATTTAACAACTAAACGGTTCTGACGCAGCTCTTTTAAGGTGATGTTTCAAAGTTATATTAAAAAATTGAGTTTATATCAGAGTATGCGGCATTACTAAAAAGTATATATTTCACTGGGTTTTTTTAACGTTGAAATGTACGGACGACAATCTTTCGTCAAAATCAAAGACTGTTGAATATGAGCAACCGTCATAAAAAAGATCGTTTCAATGCCTAATTGAAGAAAATAATTCTTCTATCAAATGTTCTTTTTAACAAAAAGAACAATCAGATTACCTAATGACATGTATTGTACATTTTTTCTTAGTTTTGGTAATTCTTGACACCATCTCAGTATCGATGAATACCTTGGATAGACACCCAAAACACGATTACTTCGTTTAACTAAATCTTTTAAATCTTCTTGCTGAAAATAACCAGCTGCATCATTTAACAAACTTGCTTCATCATCTAAAATTGATTGTACATATTGTATAACATGTGGATTTGAATTTAGCGATTGCTCTTCAATTTCTTCTCGTTTACTACTACTAATACTATTCAGCAATAAATTAAAATTTTCTTTCAACTGTGATTTGATCAACTCATTCACATTATCGACTTTTAAAACTGGTTTCAACTCAAGATCATCAGCAATTTTTGAAAATTTAGTATAAAAATTTGGTGATACTAACACATGAAGATTTTTAATATTATCGCCACCATATTGCCATATTTCAATATCGTATGCAGGATATTGTTCTATTTCAGATCTAAATGTTTTCAATTGTTGTTCATCACCATCAATTTCCAACACATGATAATTTGCGTAAGAACGATGATCTATAGGATTAGTTAGTATTTGTTGATACAGTAGTAGCCACGCTAATATTAAAAGTTTCATGGCGCGTTTATAACCAAAAGTTTGATATGAACGATGTTAAGTCAAATTTAAACCACTGCAAATTTCTTACTCTCGCTTTACTTGAACAAAGCGAGGTAAGAAATACAGTGAACAAAAAATGACGCGTCGCATTGTTTGTTACGAAGAATATTTGTGAACAATGATGATTTAAAGCCGAAGCAATCGACTGTTTAGAAATGGATCGCTGATACATTTATCATAGCGAGGCATAGCTGAACAGTTAATCAACACAGCTTTTGATGTACTAAAGTAGAAAGAAAGCAAGCAAATATATTTATCTTCATTAACTGTTCAATGCGTATCGCTTTATTCTTACATCACTCAGCGAGGCACAAATGAACAGTAATTGAAAATAATTTTTGAAAAAAGTTCGCAATAGAAACTCTCTGTTGTAATTGAATGATTATAACAGTACACATATTTCCACTATTCAAGTACATCGCTTAACATATCGAAGCGAGGCACATCGAACAGTGAATATATGATGAACGTTTAATTTTACAAATTGAAATTGATGATGTTCAAATCCAAACAATTTTCACCGGTTTGTTAAAAACGCCCGTATCGTTGCAAGGCGTTCCTCACAACCGGTGATGTTGTAGGGAAAAAGTCATATCGCTCAACAATCAACTGTAACTTACTTTTAACTGCAAAACATAACTTCACTCCTCTTGAAAATATAGTGAAGTAGTGCGATTCGTGACTTATATAAGAAGAAAGTTAGAACAGTTTAGCTCTTTTTCTATCTAAATTTTATGTATATTAACGCGTCCGCCTAAGTTTTAGATCGTTTTAACAATGAAACTCCGCCCGAAGAGTGAAACATTTTGAAATTTGATAGAATCTATTCTTTGTTCAAGAAAAATTCCGTATGACAAACATTTTTAGTAAAGTGAAGGAAATTTTCACGAACTAGACTACAACAAAATAAGATGCATATTCCAGTCAGATTTGTTTGAAGAAATCTGTTTTCGTTCGACTTTTCATGTTATATATGTTGTGCATTACGAGTACACTTGTTGACGGTATGGTACTGAATATAATGGTTTTCTTTGTTCATAAAAACATCATAGCTCATAGTGAAAGTTTCAATACATGACTTTAAATTTACATAACAGCGATCTTCTCGCACCTATTAATTTTTAAAGTTCACAGAATTGGGTTTTCATTGTTATGAGAGTACAAGACTTATTATCACTGCAGTATCATCATTTTTCACGTGTCTGTGGGCTTATTTTCCAATTGGATTGATTATTTGTCGTTAACACTCTTTTTCCATAATCATTGATAGTTTGTTGTTTCCAGCAATATTCAATTCTATGCATTATGGCGTTTCTGCCATTTCTCTGATATCAACGTTTTGTTCAGCACCAACACCCAGTCGACTGGAAGCTTGCAGAAAAAAACCAAGCAGATTTTTCAATGTCAGACAGTTATATACCGTTTTGTTGTGCATGAACAAGAATTACGAATGAACTACATTCTTTACAAATAAATCTGGAAAGTTTTCTCTTAGTAATTTTCAAAGTGTCAGAAGAAGTCACTATAACATGCGTACTAGTAACGGCACGACCTGTGAGAAAAAACTAAAATTAGAAGTTAGTGAATTTGATATTGTCTTTTTAAATTACAAAAAAATAACGATGTTTTTGAATACCGAGTTTTTAGAAACACTGAGCAAATAGTTTTTACACGTATTAACTCTTAATTTTCAAAACTCATATGCCTGTATTTTATACTTGATGAGGACAGAAACCTGTGTATAAACGTTGCTCATAAATAATATCACATCACATTTGTACTTGTTTACATACTGCTATTGGTTACATAAAGGAACAACTCAAACAGCAGCGTAACTTTAGCCTTTCTTGATTTGTTTAAACAATTATTATTTTCTTCGATCAAATTCTTTAAATTGTTCTCATTTGAATAAACATCAACAACTAGATGATTTTTTACATGAAAATATTTTTCACGAGTGTGAATTTTATTCAAAACATCATTTTTTAATCAAATATGTGAGTAAAAATTTGTATATGACATTTTAATGATAAGTGAATCTCTTCAGCTGCAAAAAGCTCGTCAGACATGTGCTTCACTGTTGACCCAACAGTGCTTCATATGTAAACATTTTTTTTCATAGAAATATTTGTACATAGTATTCAAAAGACAGATGATACGGCAATTTTCATATGGATTTTTTGTTTTAAACAGTTTGGGACTCCAAATCCAAGCTGCACGGATGTGAACTTTTCCATTTCTACCCTTCAACTGTATTATAGTCTGTTTAGGTTCATCGTTTTCTGTGCTATTATCATCCTATTATCGTTCACTTTTTACTCGCCGTAGACTTAACGAAAATTTTCTGAAAGTTTCAATGAGAGATATTTGACAGCTTTGATAGAGAACACCTGCGATAAGAAGACTCATTTTTTCATTATTCTCCATTTCTCAAATATCTGTATTAAAAAATATATTCTTGTTCCTACTATGACTTTAAACACAACGACTATGACCTTATGGTATTCTAAAGTATAGTTTTGAATGTTTTGATTTACATCTTAATTCGAAGGATAGAAATTGTAATCTTAAATATTCGTTTCGTTTATTTGGTAGGTCGAAAAAACAAAATAAACTTTTGACACCCTGACAAGTTTTTATCTTTCTTGATTTATTTTTTTATTATTAAATATAAACAATAAACACGAACCAAGTGTTGTGTGAATAACACAAGAATTCATCAAAATATGTAGAAAAACATAATAAAAAGCGAAAGACAAACAAGAGTGCGAATGATGAGAAAGAGAAATACATAACCAATTATGTAATAAAAAGAATAGCCAAAGGGAAAAGAATTTATATCTTATATTAAAAAATCAAAAAACGAATGGGTTATCGTTAAAAAAAGTGTTATAAGAACGAAAACAAAAAAATTTGGGATATATCATACCTAATAAATAATTGAATCGATTGTCAAATAAATAGTACAGCATGCATTTGACCGAAGTTTGAGCAACAGAAATAAAAAACATATTTTCTATACAAAAAGAGACTGTTGCTCCTGATATTAATTACACGAAAAAAAAGACAAAAAATACTTTAGACTATTGTACGCAAAGTAGTATTCTCAACATCATAATCGTCTAAATAGCCTTGATTGATCTGCGTTGTGTCTGATACAACTGAATGCATATTATCATCGTTGCTATGTTCATCGGACGACGACATCTCATCGACACTTTTAACTGAAATATTCATATAGGGTGTTGTTCTAGTACCTTGATTAATCGGTGCTGTGTTTGGATAAGAATGTGATTGTGATAAATCACTAGTATTTTGATCACCAAGACTATCAAGAAAGAAATTCGCAGCATGAGGCGTTGTAAAAGAGGATGACTGAACGCTGCCATATATTCCATGTGAATCGCCACTAGTTCGTTGAATTCGACGTTGTTGTTGTTGATGATTACTGTCATGTTCCTCTACTGTTGTGTTAAAACGGGCTGAATGGAACAATGCTGAATTATCAGTAGTGTCTGAATGATGATGCCACGACTGTGTAGTATTTGCATTTGCAAAATCATTGTAATCGTCATCGTTTTCAGATGTACTATGCGTGACTGCATTGGTTGAATGGTGCAATATTTGACGTTCTGAGAACAAACAAAAAGAACCAGTTGGTAACAATTTTCAGCATCAAGCGATAGTGATAAAAACGAATGTGACAAAACAGATAAAAGTATCAAATAAAAAATTGAATATGCAAAAGTACAAGTATATTAATGTACAGGAAAAATCATTTTTTGTTATATAAATTTCAAACAATGCATATGAATGAATCTCCGTTTAAAGTCGTAGATTTTTAGAAGTTTGGAGACGGTTATCAACTTTAAAATCACTTTATCCATTAATATTCTTATACCGTCTTCATTAAATGTATTCTTTGCCTTTTGAAACGCTCTATTTATTCACTATGCGTGTGGCAAAATGTAGTAATATCTTTACTAGATAAGAATTGTTCTCATAAATTACTGGAGACAAAATTTCAGTGTCGAGCATTTCGATACAAGAATCTGTAAGCTTTTTCAACTCTATCATATAGAGACCAGAAGCAAATAATTTGAATAACTTTTCTCATTACCTCTTGGAGTTGAACCGTTATTTGGTTCAGCTGTCGCACCAAGAAGAGGCGTTTGTTCCGTTGGTCGATGATCAGATTCATCCTCTGAATCCTGATCTCGATTTGGAAATACATAACGTTTGCAAATAGGACATTGACGTCTGTTATTTAATAGCCAAGGATCAATACATTTCATATGATATGCTAAAAATGGAATGATTCAGTTTGATAAGTGCACTACTCAATGCAATAGATTATGTACCGTGATCACATGGGAGTATTCTTAATTTTGCACCATCTTCGTAGTCATCCAAACAAATTGCACATACATCGTACGGATCACCTTTCTGAAATTTTTTTACTTTTAATTGTTTCAAAGCTGATCGAGGTAAACGATGTCTCCGTTCTCTACGACGATGCAAATAACATTTGACTAACTAAAGAAAGCAAATGTACACTGATATATCCAGGGTGTAAAAGAGAAATAAGTAGTTACACATACAACAAAACTGCATAAACCAAACAGACAGATACCGACAATCGCAGCAAACGGTATCAAATAATATGTTAAGTTGAATGTTTGATCAGGTGTAATTATTATGTAATATCTGAAAAAAATAAGAAAATATTATCAAATATAAAATCAAGAAAAAAGACAAACTCACAATGGTGTATGACTTGAAGATTTATTGTGCACGTATTGATTAATTATTGTTAAGCCGTCACTTTTTGATATAGCAACAGCTGGAATTAACACTTCTAAAAATCATCAAAAATAAACGCAATATACTATTAAACTTAAACTACTAAAAAGAGTCTTCTGAATCTTCACACATATGTGTATTTATCAGAAAATATACACAAATACGTTGTTCTACTTCTAAACACATACTTCCACTGCCGCCTGCACTCATTTTTATCATTTTATCTTCATAATTATAAATGATAACTGCATTAAAATATTTTTGTGCATTAATTACCTAAATCAACAATGAATTAATGAAATAAGCATTTCGACATCTTTGCTGAGTTACAAACTTTTTGATCAAAATTACAAGAACCATTTCCACCTGGCGTTGGTTTTACACGTTGAATGAGTGCAATCCAAAATGTATATGTTTCCGTGTGGTTAGTAATGTTCGGTGGTGGTTGAATTTGTTGACATGCATGAACTGGATTCGCCAGAACTACATAACCCTATGAACAGAAACGTCATGAATAACAAACATATATTTGTGATCTGGTCAACTTACTTTTATTCCATTATACGGCAACAATGGTCCGAAATCTGCTTGTATATCATCGAACTCGTCAATATTTTTTCCTGATTGATTATACTAAAATTAGTAAATGAATAAATGTGAATAGCAGGTTTGATCGCAAAGTTTGAGAACGTACCACGTTGACATCGGAATAAACGGAAGAAAAATTATTCACACAAATCAAAAATAATATAAACCATCGTGTAAAGAACAAAAAAGAATAATTGACAAAAATCGATGGGTTTGATAAATATATCATCGGTATTGTTATTTATAGTCTGAAAGTGCAAAAAAAGAGTGGATCAAAAATCATCTGAAAAAATAAAGAGAAAATACAGCTTAATTTTTATAAAGAAATATTGGATAAGAAGTAGGAATCACTTAGAGATTATCGACATTCTGTCCAACAAACTCATATTTTTGTGTGTTCATACATAACTGGAAGAAACCATTTTCAAGTTTGAAGAGAGAATCCGGACTAAAAACTGATCAAAATTTTAACAGAAAAGCTTGATAATTTACCAATAGATCTGCTTTTCCATAAGAATATAGAGAGCAATTATATCTTCCGACTTATGTTATTTAGTTACTTGGTACTTCCTACAGAAGAATTGGAACAAAAATTACTCTTACCCAGAGGTGCAGAATCTATCCGTGAGGCAGAAAATTTTTTCTTCGACAGAAAAGGTTTGTCAGAAAATTCCACGATATAGTCCACGAACAGAACTCCTTTTTGCAAAAAAGAAAGTCCAATTTTTCAAAAAAATTCCCCAAATCAATAAGTTTCCCCCTCCCCAACGACCATCGGAGCAACCAGGTAGATTCTGTAGCTCTGCTCTTATCGCTATGGAGCAACTACAAACGGCTTAAGACACGAATTTTCATTTAGACAATCCAAAAATTTACTTAGAACATATCCTAAATATCCAAAATATTTTAACATCAGAAAAAAGCTTTTCTTTGCCTAATATAACATAATACAATTGGTGATAGCACGCTGCGCATATGATGTGATATAGTGTTTTCGTTTTTGAAACTGGTGAGATTTAATTGGACATTACAGTACCATATCAAGCTCGATTGAAACTTCAGAACGACTGATGACTTCCTTTGTATGACTGTAGCATCACGATTATTTGCATTCTATCTATACGTCAGACTTTTAGAGAATGAAACATACAAGCCGTTTTTGATCACAGATGTCGCATGGATTGCTTGATTGGTTAATGATCCATAAGTTAGTCATATCATATTCTCACCCTGCTGACAAACAAATTTGCATATGCGTGGGAACATTTCTAACGAAAGTTACGCAAAAAGGAGAGCCTGCTCTACGTAGTAGGGACTAATGTTTGGGACCCACTATAACGAAGTCATGTTTTCTGTTTTTCTACTACTTAACAATAACATCTGCTATCAATTTTCTACCGTGTCGCGTACAATATACCGGTTAATTTCTATTGGATTTGGATTTTGTCACATATGAGTTTTAGTTTTCCATACACAGCCATCTGAAAAACTAGTGACGAAATTCCTTATTAAAATAACTGTTCGCGTAAGAATTTGAAACCACATAATCAGTATGTTGTTATGCAACCAAAAGACGTCCTTGATGGAACATATGACAACATTTTTTATACTTTAGTCCATTGTTTATAAAATACGTGCGTATATTATAAAGATTTTTAAAATTTCAATCTTTTATATGAAAACAGCTAATAGAATACAGAATAAAACACAAAGCGGAGTTCTTTAATTCACCTGGAAATTATACGAAGAAACTTTGATCGTCTGATGCTTCCGTTTGAGTAATGAATAATGAAACACTTGTATAACATTTCTCTCGGTTGTTTTTTTCAACAACATTCTAATTCCAGAAGATTGTTCGAGTTCTTATTAAAATTGTGAGAAAAATATAAACTTTACTGATAATACTAATAGATGATTTTTGAAGCATATTTACTGATTTTCTCTTTTTTCGTTTTTTAAAAGCATATAATTTCGAAAAAAAATAAATAAAATATGTATGACAACATCAAACTCTATGATCCTGTGATTGTTTTCTTTTCTGTATAGATAAAAGGTAGCTTTGTCGTATGCTTTCACCTAGTTGTACTTATCTTGATATTTGAATGATAGAAGCAGTAAGTGGTAGTCTATAATGAGTTACGTAAGTTTTTGTAATGAGCAATACGTAGAAAAGAAGAACAATCGGTAACTGTACGCATTTCTACATTGACAATCGTACAAGACGACTTTTATCGGGCTTATTTTTACTTAAAATATATCAGAAAGTTTGTTTCATGATTTAGTGCAGAAGAAAACTTCTGTTATGAATTTTGTGTGCTTCTGTTTTAGATTATGAAATTTACATTCGAATAAAATTAAAATGACTGCTCGAACGATAACGAGTACTCAGCAAACAACTTTTTCCTCATCATCAGTGTTTACAAGGTTACCAGCCGTATTGAAATATAATTGTCGTAAAACAATTCCAAAATTGGTACCATTTTTTAAAACTGTTGCAATATTTTTTGTCTTATTTCCCGATGCTAATTCTAAACAAGCAAATATATTTTATTTAATATTTAAATGTTTGCCAATGTGCTCGTTAATACTATTTGTTTTATTGCATGGAATGAATCTAAGATTTGAATATTCATATGCTAGAAGAATTATGACCGGTTTAGTATTCTCAATGCTTGGTGATGCATTTCTTGTCTTCGATCATCTGTAAATATCCATAGAAGTCACACGGATGTTATGACAAACATTAATGATACGCATTTTGTTTAGATTTTTTATACATGGAGTTTTGGCTTTTGGTATCTCGCACATAATTTATGCAACCGCTTATGGAATGAGACCACTTCGATTGTTAATGATACCATTTATGCTGGCACCAGTTATTTTATCTTGGGCAATGTTTTCTTCAGTATTGTATAAACCGTTGTCTTATGTTGTAAGTATAAACAAATATAAAAAATGATATTTTTATTGCTAATTTATGCAGGAGTATATTTCTGGTTCAGAATGATCACATGTCGTTTCTATTTAGATTTATCTGTACATACTTTTAACAATGATTATGATTTGGCGTGCAATAGCAAGGTTGAAATTTGACGATAAAGAATGGACATGGACAAGATTTTATAGTTTTCTTGGTATGTTTTTATGAAACTCCTCGTCACCTATTCTGATGAAACACAAAGTGCAAGTTTATAGACAAAAAAATCAAAGAATTTTACAATTAATTTTTTACTTTACACATTTTAGCACATTTGTAACGATTTTATTAAGATTTTTCATCTTGTCTATTCATATATTTGTTTTACATTTACTCTTTTCATCTAGGTGGACTTCTCTTTGCTACATCTGATTTATTATTGGCTCTCGATCGTTTTGTAACTCCTTTACCAGGTTCTCAAATATTGATTATGGCAACATATTACAGTGCTCAATTATTAATAACTCTATCAGTTGTTGATAGTCGTGAAGATATTGAAATTAATCATTGTGTCATACAAGAAACAGACATCATCAAAGTTTTACAGGAACAAGGTAAACTATTATCACAAGTGCATAAAGATGATATTTTGGCTATTTTAACTACTAAACGTCAATTAATACATAATACATTTGCCAATACACAATTATTAACATTACTCATGGAGAAAAAAATTCAGTTAGGAGCAAATATCGATTCATTGTTGAATAAGACAAACATTTTATTATTCGTTAATCAACACGAACAACAAAAGCCAAAGAAAAACACACATCGACATCGACGGCGAACAAAAAGAGATCAACAAAATAGTGATACTATGTCATCTCGGACAAATTCTTCATCTGACACGGACAACGAATCTAAACGAATAAAAATAAGTGCAGATGAAATACTAATCAAAAGAAAGCATACAATCAATACCGGTAAGCAAAAAGTATCTTGTGCTACATACTCATCTTGGAATTAAGCCTTTCTCTAGATTTTACTGATTCTAAGTCAGTTTTATTTCTTTTTTGGTAAAAACACTGTGAAAATTATCGAATAACAAGAAAAACTCGACTGAGTTAAAGTCTATTCGAATATGTTCTTTTATGATCTTTGTTTTATCTTTTTAGACGAATTTTCTTGCGAACAACTACCAATAAAGACTGGTGGGAATAATCACAGTGTATAATTGATATAAGAATGAACATTTTACATATAGTCATGTTTTGGGCAATATTATCTCCACTCTAGTTAGCCTATTATACAGATATTTAAGGCTTTCATTGTATATATAAAACTATTCAGATATAGATTGTACATAAATATTTTGATGATTTTAGTTTTTTTTCGATACTTTTTATTTGTTGATAACGACAATGAATAGTTTTGAAACAGTGTTCATCTCTCTTTACTCTATTTAGTTTTTTTTATTTATATTGGATAAAAACTCCTGTTAAACTATTTTATTTTGATAAAAGTAATGTTGAATCTAATGCTTAGGTTAGTAAGGAGAATTTTCCCATTTTTTTTTCTTGTTAATATAGATAGAATGATTTTATTTCTGATTTTTGTCTATATTTATATCTATTCATCCTTTACCAATATGCATTATATTTGTATGTAATGCAATTTTAAATATGATATTAAACAGGCAAATTTTAATCTTTTAATTAATCAATTTAGTCATCGTTCAACTTGTGTTTAGTTGAAGTTCAGGAAAATTATCAGGCTGAAATGTAGAACGAGATATATGTAATATCAAAGACCAACATGACAGCTAGTAGCGTACAAGCAAGTACATGAAAATATTTTTCTATCATTTAGTTCATAATGGATGGAGTTTGATTGACTTCATTAGAAAAGGTTACGCAAATTCACCTTTCTTTCTTAGAGAGAAGGTCAGCGTGTTTGTAGAAGAAAATAAGATACTAGTGTTTCATATATCGAATCATTAAAACGATATCTTATTAGGACAAAGATTTGAAAACTCAGTTCTTCCGTTAGTATCAAATTTGAAGTCATCGGGTATTCGCTCTTCTATGATAGTGTTAAAAGTAAAAATGTATCATACATCGCTTTTCTTTTAAAAAGTGTGGTTAATATAATCATCGTACGAACACAAGATTTTTATTTATTGTTTATTGGTTAAAGAAGAGAGGATAAAAAGTGTTGTGGACACTTAAAAAAAACATTCATCTCAATTTTTAGCTTGGTGATATCTAATAAGTTGATTGTTTTCTTAATTTGTTGTCCATTGTATTAGTTTCAGTTCTTATCTTTAACTAATCGGTTTAATTCTTACATCATTTATCACATCTGTTTTACTTTCTATTAGTTAAAGAATATTGATGTAACTAGTATGGCTAATCGTAAATGTTTTGAAATTTTAGATGAATTTTCAATATTCTTTTATTATTTATTATAATTTAATTAGTTTTTTCTTGCTAGCTTTATGTAATTCACAATCAATTCCCACTCCATCGTTTACACCTGCATGTTAGTATTCATTTATTCATGAAAAAAAATATTCTTTATTCAATCTAGTGTTTATTATTCTCTATTATTTCAGCACTTCGTAAATATTCATCGGGATTAAACTATTACTGGCATATTTTATTGGATGAAGATAGTCTTTACGTTGGAGCTCAGTAAGTTTTTCTTGTGGAACTGAGTTGACTAATAATAATTCTTTTTTCCTTTGTTCTACAAAATAGAAATCTTCTTTTGCGATTAAATCGTGATAATATTGAAGATCGATCGAGTCCAGTAAGTTGGTTTTGGGTTGAATATTTCTCTTTTTTTAATCGATTAATTTCTTTCTGTGTGTGTGTAGCTCTACAAATCTGTTGATATACCATCAAAGCGTGACGAAGTTCAAAAATGTTTATCTCATTCGTTGAATCAGGTTTGTTTGTTTTTGAGGAATGTATTCTCAACTTTGAAATGTGTTCGTTATTATTTAGGCATTTGATTGCGAAAATCATGTACGTGTCTTATTGAGACGGAAAACGAAATATAATGATTTGTTCGTTTGTTCAACAAATGCATTTTCACCAAAAATTTATTATTTTAATGTGAGTAACAATCAGCAACCTCTAAGGAAGTATATTGAGAACCATTTATTCTTTTAGCCTGATTTAACTGAAAAACTTCCAGCTAAAGAGGGTTTTGGTTATTGTTCACGTGATCCTCGACACATCAATACGGCATTATGGTCAGGTATTTAGTGAAAAGATGATTAGTAGTTCTCCCATACTGTATAGATATCTTACTTTTTCTAGATAATGGTAATCCTTCGAGTTATGGTTTTATCTATTCTGGAGCTGTTATGGATTATACCAAAACGGAACCAATTATCTATCGTCCACCGTCTGATGACGGCACCATCAAATATATGAGAACACCGCAATACGATATTGATTGGCTTAGTGGTATGCGATCTTTTACGTTTTCATCTGCATATATTAATGTTTTAAATTTTTAGCTCCAGAATTTATTGATTCATTCGATATTGGTTCTTACATCTACTTTTTCTTTCGTGAAAAAGCCGAAGAACAAAAATCATACGAACCTGCTTTGTCTCATATCTATTCACGTGTTGGAAGAGTTTGTAAAGTAAGTGAAATATCTTGTTTAACAAAGCATTTACAACTTTATACTCGTTTATTATTTTAGAATGATATCGGCTCAGCACCAATTATGGCCAATTATTGGACGTCATTTCGTAAAGCAAGAATAATTTGTATGAGTGGAACCTCAGATACACCATATGTATTCAACGATATAAGTAAATATTCTTCACAAAGGCTGCGACTTTCGGAAGAGGGAAAAGATACTGCTCCTTGCTTTTGAGTATGCTGCAAATTTGATAGCAATTTACTCTCTTGTGGTACATCTATTCGCGTTCTGAATATTGGCAAACAAAAACATTGCTCTAACTCACTAAGCATTGTTTGTAAAATTCACTACCGATTTAAAACTTTCTCTAGTTCTTCGAGGCGCCTTTGACGTTTTTAAGTAACAAGCATTAATTATGTAGGCTAAGTACTCTTTTTTTTTAAGGTACTGTTACCAAATTGCATGATGACCGTTTTGTCGTTTCATTTATAACCACACCGTAAGTTTTATATCTTCACTATAATTTGTTGTATATCCTGCGGAAAAAGAAAATTACAGAAGAGAAAAACTCACAAAGTAATTTTATAGTCATTATATAAAGAGTGGATAACAAACTGACGAAACCTGGATAACTGGATTTAAAAAATTGTTTACGTTATTAAATTTTTTAATTTAAAAGATTGTTTACTTTCTGTTTGTGTTTGAAATATTTTGAACTTCTAAAAGTACTCCTCACTTTCTTTCTGTGTTTCTATATGCGATGCACGTAGTGATACATTTGTTTTCTTTTTTTCTTCACGTATAACAGGCAGTGTACAGAATGAAAGAGAAAAAGATTTGCATATACAGACACCATCGTAATGTTCATAAGCAATAAAAGAGATTAAAAAGGTGGAAAAAACTTTTCTCGATGTTTGTATACGTACAAAAGTACATTATGAAAACATCTGACAAAACAAAAATTTAAAATTTTCTGTACCTGTCGTGAGTCTATCTGACAGTGAAAATAAATATTAGTAATTTGTGAGTAAAAAAGAGAGATTCTATTTAGATTTGAGCGCGCAAAATAAGTCAAAAATCAAGGCTTTGGACAACTCTAAATAAAGATAAAAAAGTAAAACATACAGGAGAGGATAAAAAGCACGTACTTAAATTAATGAAAGAGGTTAAATGTGGAAAAGACGTATGCTTACGTAGTCTAAACATTTTTTTATCGAAAGACGTTAAATTTATCTCGAGATTGCTAATAGTTACTGAGGTGTAATAAAAATGCGAATAATCCCTTAGTGTTCATACGCTTACGTCTAATTGAAAAAGAGCAGACTAGTCTGTAAAAAGTTGGTTACAACGTTTTTTAAAGACCTCGTAGCTGAGTATTCTTCTAAATGAACTTATTTATCTCAATCCCTTCTATTGTCTGTCCATAAAAGCAGTGAGCATGGCTATTTTGTGAATAACTGGTGAGTGATGATAGCTAGAGTGTTGCTCTTTCTGTTTCAAAATCTTTTTCGAAAATTGTGTTTTGGGAGTTCTTTAGCAAATTACGCTTGATCTCGAATTATACTCTATTTTAGCAAATTTACAAGATCGTATGCTTCAAAGTGCGAAAACAACCTGCGTATACTTTTAACGTTTTCTTTAAGTGTACCGTAGTTCCAGATAGTGAATATCGATTTTAGAAAGACCATGCTCTCTCACCTTTAAGCTGATGAAAAGATTAGACACTAAGAAGGTTTCATAAATCGTTATTGTTTAATTAATAAAGATTTCGAGAAAGACGATATGTGGTTGTTGAATGTTTTGTATATCATTAGATCTATATTTCTCATTTTCTACAAGTTTCAACAATATTAGGTTAGACGAAGAAAAAAAAGAAATTACCTTGCTACTATTTAGGCATGCAACAGTTACGGTTATTAACCGCTAACCGTGACCGATCATAACCGTTAACCGTAACCGATCATAACCGGTCGAACGGTTAACCGTAACCGTAAATAACCGCTTTATTATAACTTACGAGGGAACCTCTTGACATGCTAAAAGCCTTTTTGAATAGGACTATTTTGAAAATGTAGGTCACCATGGGCTGTGAAGAATTCCAACTTGGTTCGGGCGCAATCAGCTTTGTTGTTCAGATATCGAATTTTTACTCGAATTTTCTCCATAGGACCTGCATTTCAAGCAAAAACGGAGTTTTGAATTTCATGTTGTAACATATCACATATTGTAGCCCAGACCAATTGTAGTCCGGTGAAAACAGGCCGAGCTGAAAACCTCTTCCTGCAGCCATGAAAGAACTTTTTCGATGGGTACCAAAGGTAAAACATGGAGCGAGTTTTTAAAAAGTTCTTTCATGGCTGCAG